CTGGGACGATGGGGACACCCTGTTGGTGGTAATTTTGATGTGGGGGAAACCAGAGTGCCCGGAGAAAACCCACTTTCACAGGACAGACGCCGAATACTCCTGTGCCCAGGCTGAAAAGCGATGTAGGATTATAAACATGAATAATCGTATTTTATGTGTGAGTGGTTCTCTGTGTTGTGTTATGTAGGCAGTATAGATCGTATGGAGAAGTGTGTTTGGTGGGAACGGTTGATATTTTGTGTAATGCTGTGGTTAAGCTGTTTCTTGTATCCGCCTTTGTGTAATATTTAACGGATAATTTTGTTAATCTATTCTTGAGTGTGGGAAGGTTGCTTAGTTTATGAATGAATTTTACGGGGGTAAAAGTTGATAATGTTAATGCTAATCTAATGGCTTTATTTTGTTGTATTTGAAGTTTTTTAGGTTATTTCTGGGCATGTTGTAAGTTATTTGACATCCTATTCTATGAGTGAGCAAATGAAAGTTTTGTATATTCTTAGGGCTGTTATTGGTGCACAGTTAGTGTTTGCCTGTAAGTAGACTAATGTAATTGATACGTTTACTGATTGATGAGTGTATGTTTTGAATGTTTTTGTTCCATGTCAGCCTGTTGTCAAATGTGATTCCCAGGAATTAAATGTTATTGCTGATTTTTATTTGGGTGTCTCCTAGCACCAATGTAACATTATATCTAATGTTTTTTGGACATGAGCAGTGGCAATGATTGGGTTTCTGGAAATACTCCATACGGCAACGTCATCGGTGTATTGAGAATGGTAAGAGTACGTTAGTTCCGGGAAAGGAATATCGTTAACGAAAAGGATGTATAAGAAAGGGGTGAAAGGGCTGATCCTTGAGGTACTCCTGCCGTTATGTTAAAAGTTTTGGATAAGATGTTGTTAACTTTTAATTTAGCGGATCTATCTGTTAAAAAGTTTGATATCCATCAGATTAGGGTTTCGTTGACATTTAGCGTGTGTAGTTTGTATTTGATGACATTGTGCCATACACTATCAAAAGCTTTTTTGACGTCTAAAAATACGCCTATGGTGGCTTGATTATTGTTGACTGATTTGTATATTGATTAAGTTAGTCTCGTGAGGTGATTTATTGTTTGTCTGTTCTTTCTTGAAGCGTTTTGATATTTGGATAGTAGGTTGTTTGATTCGCAGAAGTGTAGAAGTCTGGTTGAAATAGTTTTTTCCATAATTTTGCCGAGGCGACTTAATAGGCTGATGGAGCGGAAGTTATCGGGGTTGGATCTATTGGTTTGTTTTTTGGGGTTTACGGTAACTATTACTTGTTTCCATGTGTCGGGATAGTACCCACTTCATAAAGATAGGCTCATAATATTTGTTAAGGGTATTAGGAAAAGATTGGAAGTTTTATTCAACATTATGTTTCTTATGCTGTCGTGGT